CAACCGCAGCACACCTGCAGTGGAGGTCATGTTTCCTTTTTTGAAGGTATGGTTGCTCATTTTTCGGAGATGGACAATTCCTTCGGCCCAGGCGGGGGGTATTTTAACTGTCCCCTCCCAAAGTCGTCAGAGTCATCGCTGACTCATGTCGTCCTCCCCTAAAAAGCCTTGCGTACACCCGTGTGACAACCTGTGTCAACCCCTGACGTTAATCGATATTTCGCTTTTGACCGATTGGCCGCGGCCGGACAAAGTCTCTAGCGCACGCACTTTGGTTGGCACCCCTGAAGAGACAACTCGCGGCAACTGCTTGCTGAGCCTCCTTGTACGCTCTTTTGCGTCACTAAAGTTTGTCCAACCTAATCTGTCTTCCTTGACTTTTAACTTGGGAACTCTCCCGTCTGCTCTCCAATTCGGCGCCGGTTCCAGGTATTGTCAACTATTATCAAGGTCATGTAAAGGGACGCGAGAGCGGCGTTCATCGATTTATTCCGTTTGCACCAGGGTAATAAGCAGTTTATCAGTGAATGATGAATTATCACACCGCGAGAGCATGAATCTATGTTCTGTGCCCATTTCTGTCCTGTTATAAAAACTGTTCGGTAAACTACACTGTCATATGACAATGGCACCCTAACGAACTGTTGCTTCAAACTGCGCAGATTTGTACGCGTTTGGCTTCGCTATTAAACTGAGAATGACTAATGTCTTAGCCGTTTGAGCAAGTTCCTAGAAGTAGTATTGGTAACTCCTACCATCCGAGAATAAAACGTTCCTGGTCTCATGGAAGTTCGGGGACCTATTGTTAGAAGTAACAAAACGTTCCTGGTCTCAAGGAAACTCAGGGACCTATTGTTAGCAGTCGTCTTCAACATGGTTTTTTGATAGACTTCCCAAGAGGAACAAGAAGTACGTAATTTGGTGTAAGATTTCTTGCCAGTAAAAAATATTCTGCTTAAAAGTTGGATTTTTTAAAATAATAAACTGTATCGTTGACCTTAAAAGCGGCGGGAATTTGCACATTACAGTTGATAGTCAAATTCATTTTACGGTATCATAGAAGTCGCAGAGAGTCCTAGAGTCGTATACAGTGTAAATATATTGACACAATACAACGCCGTCGCAATGCCTCACCTGAGGCGTCGCGACCATCCCTTCGCTCTGATTAGTAAGACAAGGCAAAGAGAGTGACGCCGTCATATATAGCTTATCTGCCATGTTTTCCCAGTCGAACCTCAAATTCAGGCTGGGAAGGCATCAGATTTGGACACAGAGCCCGTCTGTTTTTGCTCCCACTGTTTCGCCTGGAGTGCAAAAGTGAACTTACTCTACTCTCTTTTAAAGCTCCTTGCCCTTTGAATGTTGGCAGGTCCGCTAATACCTGGGAGAGCTCAGCTTGAAGTTTAAGGTATGGCGGAATAAGTGTGTTCCCTCCTACAGTCCGAGCGTATCTGCGGGCGCCAGGCCTCATGATGTTTATATCCAAAAGAACATAAAGTCTTATCATGGTGCACTGCAATCGACTGACACCTGCTCACATTATAAACATTCCCTGTCTGAGGAAGAGACACTATCGCTGGAACAGGTGCTTAATTGGCCTGACCTATTGGATTCTCGCTCGAATCCGACATCAGAGACAGGGTCAGATAAGAGTAGTGGATTGCCCGGGCGTTGCGGTATTTATAGGATGTAGTTGCCAGACCGCTACACGCCTGTCACAATTGGCAGCTCCCGAGTGTATCATAGCTCGACTAGCCAGGTGCCGAAGTATGTCGTTGCCATGCCCCTGTATGCCGGTCAAGATTATCGGCCCCCACGATATCGCACGCGGCCGAGCGGCTGACTACCGGATTTTGTCATCCGTGTGGACTCTTGGGTGATTCGGCTCGACAGCGATAATACCCGGGGCAGTGATTATCCGAACGCTCTCCTCTTGGCTAACTTCTTTGTCTAGGCTAAGTCCCAGTGCAGAATATGGAGAGGGGAGGTCGTTGAGATTGTTGATTGATTGAGGAACGGAAAACCGCGACTCGAACAGTTCGCTGCTCACGCGTTTGTCGCCCCTAGCAAGAATGTTTGCCTCGTAAAACCCGAATTTGTGGTTGGGCCCCGTCGAATGAACCTCAACTTGGGAGTTGGTGTCGTTCCCCTTCACTGCTGCCGCGTACTCGGCCAACCGCGTCCGGAGCTGTCTTCCGGTTTCTCCGACGTAGTTGCTTTATCTGCAACTGCACCAGACCCGGTAAACGACTCCAGATGTTTCCTGCCGTGGCAGTGGGTCTTTCGGTCTTATGACCTGGCGCCCTGTGGTTGCCTCCGGTCTGTGTGCAACTCTAATTACAAGGGGCGTAAGGAGGCGGCTGACGACTTCCGAGACATTCTTCACGTACAGAAGAGCTCGCAAAAATTTGGGGCTGGTTGGATTTTGTCCGCCGCCTCGTTTACGCCGGCGACTACCCACTCACTCTAAGCACCCATTAAAAGTATTATAATTAAGTAAACTTGTCTTCCGGTTCACTGCAGTGTGCCTTCACCCGCCGGTAAAGCGTTCTTATGCAACTGCGTTTGTGACTGATTGGGTAGTTGCAGTTGTAGCCCAGTACTTGCATCGGGTTTGTTGTTTTCCTGAATACATTGGTTTTCAAGCCACCACAATCTTTGCGGCAGACGAAGACATCAAGAAAGGCCAGCTGGTTGTCTTCCACTTCCTCCATCGTAAATTTAATGTCCGGAAAGATGGCGTTGAGATCTCATTTGAATTGCATCACCCGATCCCGTTCGATGACGATGAATGTATCATCCACATACCGAGCCCAGAATTACGTTTTCTGTGGCGTTGGAAAACCAGCGACTCCAACGGTTGTAGGATCGCTTCTGTTATGAGTCCCGAAATCGGCGAACCCAATGGCGTGCCCCTCATCTACTCGTCCATAGTTCCGTCGAAAGTAAAGTAGGTCTTCAGACAGAACTTCAGGAGTTGGAGGATTTGGGCGTGTCCAAGACGATTCCCTGTCTCATCGTATTTGTCTCGTAGGAGTAGTTCGATGGCCTCAACTGCCAGGTTATGCGGAACAGAAGTGAAAAGGGACTTGACATCAAAGGATACCATGAAATCGCTTGACTGGAGGCTTATCCCTTTGAGTTCTTCGAAGAATCCGAAACGCCAGGCAAGTAAATCACCTCTTCCAGCGATCATGTCTCCCTCTTCGCGACCACTTCCTGGAACTCGCCTCTTTGCTTATATTAGTAAATTCCCCGCCTGAGTTGAAATATTTATGGACAAAAGGCCGCAGACAACAGCCTTTAGCCGTAAGCGGAACAGGTTATGTGGATGGGTACGCTATTCAAGCACGATGAGCGTTAATTTCAGTAGTTTACTGCATGAGGGTTGGATTCCAACATCTTCAATATCTAGGCTTGCGGCTTGAGTGGTTGGCGACGTCACGGGGTCAAGAAGTGACCATTTCAGTTTAACTTGTCTCCACAAACTCTTGAAAAATGTGCATTAGTTAGCTGATTATGTGCTTCTTCGTGGACTAAACGACGGTCTGCTAATGAATATCCAGGATCTTTTTATACATGGATGAACTGGTACTACCGTTCCGTCTTTTAACAGCCCGACCTAAGGACCATTTCTTGCCCGATCGCATAGCTAATGAGGGTAGGGGAGATTTCGTGAAGTTTGATGCATACATAAACAGCACGCAAGCCAACTGAGTAAAAGAGGAAGGAGGTCGTTAAGTTGTCCTCTAGAAGCAAAGCAGAAAACCTTACACCAGTTAGGGGTGTCAGCGGTGGGTTCACGTAATGGTCGTGGTGGTCGCTCACTTGCTTGCAGGTGAGACTGCGCCTAGCGTCCACTTGCTGGCACTCAACTCTCACCTGTGGCTCCACGTAGCTGGGCTCTGCTCAGCGGCCACA